TACAATGATGATCCCTTTTCATGTTGCTCTCCAGGATTTAGCCTATGGATTGCTGAGCAGCAGACACTTAAGAAAAACACCAAGCTGAATGTTTGATAAAAATTCAAACTGAATCCTGAACCTTTTTGGAGATTTCACAACGTCTGGTTAACCATTAAAAAATGTGACCCTTCCCCTCCCCCTTATATTCAACCTGTACAACTCTCTATTTCAAACTGAAACATTAAACAAATCTAAACAAATACTTTGCCTCAGTCTTTAATGAGGCTAATGAGGAGCTTAGGGATAATGGTAGGACGACAAATGGGAAGGAGGATATGGAGGTAGATATTACCACATCCGAGGTAGAAGCCAAACTTGAACAGCTTAATGGGACTAAATCGGGGGGGGGGGGCAGATAATCTTCATCCAAGAATATTAAAGGAACTGGCACATGAAATTACAAGCCCATTAGCAAAAAATTTTAATGAATCTGTAAACTCAGGGGTTGTACCGTATGACTGGAGAATTGCTAACATAATTCCTGTTTTTAAGAAAGGAAAAAAACGTGATCCGAGTAACTACAGGCCTGTTAGTTTGACATCTGTAGTATGCAAGATCTTGGGAAAAAATTTGAAGGAGAAAGTAGTTAAGGACATTGAGGTCAATGGTAATTGGGGCAAAATACAACATGGTTTTACAAAAGGTAGATCGTGTCAAACCAACCTGAGAAGGTTCTTTGAGAAGGTAACAGATTTTTTAGACAAAGGAAACGCAGTGGATCTAATTTATCTCGATTTCAGTAAGGCATTTGATACGGTTCCACATGGGGAATTATTAGCTAAATTGGAAAAGATGGGGATCAATATGAAAATTGAAAGGTGGATAAGGAACTGGTTAAAGGGGAGACTACAACGGGTCACACTGAAAGGTGAACTGTCAGGCTGGAAGGAGGTTACTAGTGGAGTTCTCAGGGATCAGTTTTGGGACCAATCTTATTTAATCTCTTTATTACTGACCTTGGCACAAAAAGTGGGAATGTGCTAATAAAGTTTGTGGATGACACAAAGCTGGGAGGTATTGCCAATACAGAGAAGGACCGGGATATCATCCAGGAAGATCTGGATGACCTTGTAAACTGGAGTAATAGTAACAGGATGAAATTTAATAGTGAAAAGTGCAAGGCCATGCATTTAGGAATTAATAACAAGAATTTTTGTTATAAACTGGGGACGCACCACTTGGAAGTAACAGAGGAGGGGAAGGACCTCAGAGTATTGGTTGACCACAGGATGACTATGAGCTGCGAATGTGATATGGCCGTGAAGAAAGCTAATGCAGTCTTGGGATGCATCAGGAAAGATATTTCCTGTCGAGATAAGGAGGTTTTAGTACCATTATACAAGGCACTGGTGAGACCTCATCTGGAATACTGTGTGCAGTTCTGGTCTCCCATGTTTAAGAAAGATGAATTCAAACTGGAACAGGTACAGAGAAGGGCTACTAGGATGATCCGAGGAATGGAAAACCAGTCTTATGAAAGGAGACTCAAAGAGCTTGGCTTGTTTAGCCTAACCAAAAGAAGGCTGAGGGGAGATATGATTGCTCTTTATAAATATGTCAGAGGAATAAATACCACAGAGGGAGAAGGACTATTTAAGCTCAGTACCAATGTGGACACAAGAGCAAATGGATATAAACTGGCCATCAGAAGTTTAGACTTGAAATTAGACAAAGGTTTCTAACCAGAAGAGTGAAGTTCTGGAACAGCCTTCCAAGGGAAGCAGTGGGGGCAAAAGACATATCTGGCTTCAAGACTAAGCTTGATAAGTTTATGGAAGAGATGATATGATGGGATAGCCTAATTTTGATAATTAACTGATCTTCAACTATTAGTGGTAGATATGCCCAATGGCCTGTGACGGGATGCTAGATGGGATGGGATCTGAGTTACTACAGAGAATTCTTTCCTGGGTGTCTGGCTGGTGAGTCTTGCCCACATGCTCAGGGTTTAGCTGATCGCCATATTTGGGGTCAGGAAGAAATTTTCCTCCAGGGCAGATTGGCAGAGGCCCGGGGGTGGGGGGGGGTTCACCTTCCTCTGCAGCTTGGGACATGGGTCACTTGCTGGAGGATTCTCTGCACAGAAGTCTTTAAACCATGGTTTGAGGACTTCAGTAGCTCAGACATAGCTTAGGGTATGTCTACACTACGGAATAAGGTCGAATTTGTAGAAGTCGGTTTTTTAGAAATCGGTTTTATATATTCGAGTGTGTGTGTCCCCACAGAAAATGCTCTAAGTGCATTAAGTGCATTAACTCGGCGGAGCGCTTCCACAGTACCGAGGCTAGAGTCGACTTCCGGAGCGTTGCACTGTGGGTAGCTATCCCACAGTTCCCGCAGTCTCCGCTGCCCATTGGAATTCTGGGTTGAGATCCCAATGCCTGATGGGGCTAAAACATTGTCGCGGGTGGTTCTGGGTACATATCGTCAGGCCCCCCGTTCCCTCCCTCCCTCCGTGAAAGCAAGGGCAGACAATCGTTTCGCACCTTTTTTCCTGAGTTACCTGTGCAGACGCCATACCACGGCAAGCATGGAGCCCGCTCAGGTAACCGTCACCCTATGTCTCCTGGGTGCTGGCAGACGCGGTACGGCATTGCTACACAGTAGCAGCAACCCCTTGCCTTGTGGCAGCAGACGGTACAGTACGACTGGTAGCTGTCATCGTCATGTCCGAGGTGCTCCTGGCCACGTCGGCTGGGAGCGCCTGGGCAGACATGGGCGCAGGGACTAAATTTGGAGTGACTTGACCAGGTCATTCTCTTTAGTCCTGCAGTCAGTCCTATTGAACCGTCTTATGGTGAGCGATACGGACTGCTAGCAGTCGTACTGTACCATCTTCTGCCAGGCAGGCAAGAGATGAGGATTGCTAGCAGTCGTATTGTACCATCTTCTGCCAGGCAGGCAAGAGATGGGGATGGCTAGCAGTCGTACTGTACCATCTTCTGCCGAGCAGCCATGAGATGTGGATGGCATGCAGTCCTTCTGCACCGTCTGCTGCCAGCCAAAGATGTAAAAGATAGATGGAGTGGATCAAAACAAGAAATAGACCAGATTTGTTTTGTACTCATTTGCTTCCCCCTGTCTAGGGGACTCATTCTTCTAGGTCACACTGCAGTCACTCACAGAGAAGGTGCAGCGAGGTAAATCTAGCCATGTATCAATCAGAGGCCAGGCTAACCTTCTTGTTCCAATAAGAATGATAACTTAGGTGCACCATTTCTTATTGGAACCCTCCGTGAAGTTCTGCCTGAAATACTCCTAGATGTAAAGCCACCCCCTTTGTTGATTTTAGCTCCCTGAAGCCAACCCTGTAAGCCGTGTCCTCAGTCGCCCCTCCCGGCGTCAGAGCAACGGCAGACAATCGTTCCGCGCCTTTTTTCTGTGCGGACGCCATACCAAGGCAAGCATGGAGGCCGCTCAGCTCACTTTGGCAATTAGGAGCACATTAAACACCACACGCATTATCCAGCAGTATATGCAGTACCAGAACCTGGCAAAGCGATACCAGGCGAGGAGGCGACGTCAGCGCGGTCACGTGAGTGATCAGGACATGGACACAGATTTCTCTGAAAACATGGGCCCTGCCAATGCATGCATCATGGTGCTAATGGGGCAGGTTCATGCGGTGGAACGCCGATTCTGGGCTCGGAAAACAAGCACAGACTGGTGGGACCGCATAGTGTTGCAGGTCTGGGACGATTCCCAGCGGCTGCGAAACTTTCGCATGCGTAAGGGCACTTTCATGGAACTTTGTGACTTGCTTTCCCCTGCCCTGAGGCGCATGAATACCAAGATGAGAGCAGCCCTCACAGTTGAGAAGCGAGTGGCGATAGCCCTGTGGAAGCTTGCAACGCCAGACAGCTACCGGTCAGTTGGGAATCAATTTGGAGTGGGCAAATCTACTGTGGGGGCTGCTGTGATGCAAGAAGCCCACGCAATCAAAGATCTGCTGATATCAAGGGTAGTGACCCTGGGAAATGTGCAGGTCATAGTGGATGGCTTTGCTGTAATGGGATTCCCTAACTGTGGTGGGGCTATAGACGGAACCCATATCCCTATCTTGGCACCGGAGCACCAAGCCGCCGAGTACATAAACCGCAAGGGGTACTTTTCGATAGTGCTGCAAGCTCTGGTGGATCACAAGGGACGTTTCACCAACATCAACGTGGGATGGCCGGGAAAGGTGCATGATGCTCGCATCTTCAGGAACTCTGGTCTGTTTCAAAAGCTGCAGGAAGGGACTTTATTCCCAGACCAGAAAATAACTGTTGGGGATGTTGAAATGCCTATATGTATCCTTGGGGACCCAGCCTACCCCTTAATGCCATGGCTCATGAAGCCGTACACAGGCAGCCTGGACAGTAGTCAGGAGCTGTTCAACTACAGGCTGAGCAAGTGCAGAATGGTGGTAGAATGTGCATTTGGACGTTTAAAGGTGCGCTGGCGCAGTTTACTGACTCGCTTAGACCTCAGCGAAACCAATATTCCCACTGTTACTACTGCTTGCTGTGTGCTCCACAATATCTGTGAGAGTAAGGGGGAGACGTTTATGGCGGGATGGGAGGTTGAGGCAAATCGCCTGGCTGCTGGTTACGCGCAGCCAGACACCAGGGCGGTTAGAAGAGCACAGGAGGGCGCGGTACGCATCAGAGAAGCTTTGAAAACCAGTTTCATGACTGGCCAGGCTACGGTGTGAAAGTTCTGTTTGTTTCTCCTTGATGAAACCCCCCGCCCCTTGGTTCACTCTACTTCCCTGTAAGCTAACCACCCGCCCCTCCTCCCTTCAATCACCGCTTGCAGAGGCAATAAAGTCATTGTTGCTTCACATTCATGCATTCTTTATTCATTCATCACACAAATAGGGGGATGACTACCAAGGTAGCCCAGGAGGGGTGGTGGAGGAGGGAAGGAAAATGCCACACAGCACTTTAAGCACAGCACTTTAAAAGTTTACAACTTTAAAATTTATTGAATGACAGCCTTCTTTTTTTGGGGCAATCCTCTGTGGTGGAGTGGCTGGTTGGACGGAGGCCCCCCCACCGCGTTCTTGGGCGTCTGGGTGTGGAGGCTATGGAACTTGGGGAGGAGGGCGGTTGGTTACAGAGGGGCTGCAGTGGCAGTCTGTGCTCCAGCTGCCTTTGCTGCAGCTCAACCATACACTGGAGCATACTGGTTTGGTCCTGCAGCAGCCTCAGCATTGAATCCTGCCTTCTCTCATCACGCTGCCGCCACATTTGAGCTTCAGCCCTGTCTTCAGCCCGCCACTTACTCTCTTCAGCCCGCCACTTACTCTCTTCAGCCCGCCACCTCTCCTCCCAATCATTTTGTGCTTTCCTGCACTCTGACATTATTTGCCTCCACGCATTCGTCTGTGCTCTGTCAGTGTGGGAGGACAGCATGAGCTCGGAGAACATTTCATCGCGAGTGCGTTTTTTTTTCTTTCTAAGCTTCACTAGCCTCTGGGAAGGAGAAGATCCTGTGATCATTGAAACACATGCAGCTGGTGGAGAAAAAAAAAGGGACAGCGGTATTTAAAAAGACACATTTTATAAAACAGTGGCTACACTCTTTCAGGGTAAACCTTGCTGTTAACATTACATACATAGCACGTGTGCTTTCGTTACAAGGTCGCATTTTGCCTCCTCCCACCGCGTGACTACCCCCTCAACCTTCCCCCCTCCCTGTGGCCAACAGCAGGGAACATTTCTGTTTAGCCACAGGCAAACAGCCCAGCAGGAATGGGCTCCTCTGAGTGTCCCCTGAAGAAAAGCACTCTATTTCAACCAGGTGACCATGAATTATATCTCACTCTCCTGAGGATAACACAGAGAGATAAAGAACGGATGTTGTTTGAATGCCAGCAAACATACACTGCAATGCTTTGTTCTACAATGATTCCCGAGTATGTGTTACTGGCCTGGAGTGGTAAAGTGTCCTACCATGAAGGACTCAATAAGGCTGCCCTCCCCAGAAACCTTTTGCAAAGGCTTTAGGACTACATCTAGGAGAACCGCAAATGCCAGGGCAAAGTAATCCTTTCACATGCTTGCTTTTAAACCATGTATAGTATTTTAAAAGGTACACTCACCAGAGGTCCCTTCTCCGCCTGCTGGGTCCAGGAGGCAGCCTTCGGTGGGTTCGGGGGGTACTGGCTCCAGGTCTAGGGTGAGAAACAGTTCCTGGCTGTCGGGAAAACCGGTTTCTCCGCTTGCTTGCTGTGAGCTATCTACAACCTCCTCCTCCTCATCATCTTCTTCGTCCCCAAAACCTGCTTCCGTATTGCCTCCATCTCCATTGAAGGAGTCAAACAACACGGCTGGGGTAGTGGTGGCTGAACCCCCTAAAATGGCATGCAGCTCATCATAGAAGCGGCATGTTTGGGGCTCTGACCCAGAGCGGCTGTTCGCCTCTCTGGTTTTCTGGTGGGCTTGCCTCAGCTCCTTCAGTTTCACGCGGCACTGCTTCGGGTCCCTGTTATGGCCTCTGTCCTTCATGCCCTGGGAGATTTTCACAAAGGTTTTGGCATTTCGAAAACTGGAACGGAGTTCTGATAGCACGGATTCCTCTCCCCAAACAGCGATCAGATCCCATACCTCCCGTTCGGTCCATGCTGGAGCTCTTTTGCGATTCTGGGACTCCATCATGGTCACCTGTGCTGATGAGCTCTGCATGGTCACCTGCAGCTTGCCACGCTGGCCAAACAGGAAATGAGATTCAAAAGTTCGCGGTTCTTTTCCTGTCTACCTGGCCAGTGCATCTGAGTTGAGAGTGCTGTCCAGAGCGGTCATAATGGAGCACTCTGGGATAGCTCCCGGAGGCCAATACCATCGAATTGTGTCCACAGTACCCCAAATTCGAGCCGGCAACGTCGATTTAAGCGCTAATCCACTTGTCAGGGGTGGAGTAAGGAAATCGATTTTAAGAGCCCTTTAAGTCGAAATAAAGGGCTTCATTGTGTGGACGGGTGCAGGTTTACATCGATTTAACGCTGCTAAATTCGACCTAAAGTCCTACTGTAGACCAGGGCTTAGAGGTTTGTTACAGGAGTGGGTGGGTGAGATTCTGTGGCCTGCATTGTGCAGGAGGTCAGACTAGACGATCATAATGGTCCCTTCTGACCTTAAAGTTTACGATTCTATGATTAAGCCTCTGAGACGGAAGACTTGATGTGACCTGGAAGTCAGTGGAAATATTTCCATTTATTTCAGTGGGATTTGGATCAGGGTCCAGGAGAAGTTATTGAAACAGGATGTGAAGGGACCAACTCTTCAGGTCAGAGTGGAGCTTAAAAGAAAACCAGTGGTTTCAAAGTTTTGAAATGCAGAGCTAACATCGAGTCAGAGATTTTCAGGCAGAAGAATCTAGATCCTCTATTCTGACATCCTGGGTATAACCAACAACCAGATCTTCCAGAAAGGCACCAAATCTCAATGTGAAGACCTCAAGAGATGGACAGTTCACCACTTGGTAGTCTCTTCAGTGGTTAATCATCCTCAGTATTAAAAACATGCCTCATTCTAATTTGAGTTTGACTGGCTTCAGCTCCCTGTCACTGATCTTGTTCTGCCTTTCCCCTCTATATTAAACAGCCTTTTAATAGCCGCTATTTTCTCCCCTTGAAGGTGTTTATTCCATATAATCAAGTCACCTCTGTCTTCATTTTGAGGAGCTAAACATCATGAGCTGTTCAAGGCGCTCGCTGTGAGTCATTTTCTTCAGCCTTTGAATCATTTTTGTGACTCTTTTCCCCAATTTTTCAACATCCTTTTAAAAATGTGGCTACCAGACCAGTACACGGTATCCCAGTGCCTTACACAGAGGCAAAATCATACCCCTATTCCTATTCACTGCTCCCCTGTTTATACACTGGAGGACCACACAAGACCTTTATGCCACAGTGTCACACTGGGAGCTTGTGTTGAGTGGTTTGGCCACTGTGACTCCTAAATCCTTTTTACGCTAAGTGCTTTCCAGGATACTGTCTCCCACTCTGGAGTGAATGTCTAATATCACCAAACAGCCTTAACTCTGCCTCCATTTCTAGGACTTATGTTTTCTTCTCTGTAGCACTCTTTTGCCACATCCTTGCCACAGACTGCTACGTCTGGTCTACACTTGAAAATTAGATCGCCTTTGCTATGTTGCTCAGGGCTATGAAAAATTTCTCTCTGAGCACCATAGTTAGACAACCCTAACCTCCAGTGTAGATGCAGCTAGGTTGAGAGGAGAATTTTTCCATTAACCTAGCTACCCCATGTCTCGGACAGGTGGATGAACAACATTGATAGAGCAACCCCTTTCCTCAGTGTAGGAAACATCTACACTGCAGCTCTAGAGCGTCACAGCTGCAGAGCCATAGCACTTTTAGAGTAGACATAACTTAGGACAGTGATACTCAATTAGATCTACCCGTGGGCTGATTGGAGAATTTTATGATACGAGATGGGCCATTTGCGCAGAAGACTCACAAAATAAAAAAAAAATTAATTCAGCTGCCAATAAATAAAGGCCTTGATTGCAACATGAGTAATAGTATTTTTATCTTTTAACAAAATTTATAAATCATAATCATCACCTTTGCTTTTGTTTCCAAATGGGGCAAGAGACACAGGAGAAAGCGCTGCCCACCCCCAACTCACCCCCATCGCTGTCTCAATGCCAGGGGGAAGGGGGTAATTTTCCACCCCACATGATCCATTGCTCCCATACAAAGGGGCAGCTCTCCCCACCACCTGAACCCAGATTGCACCACTCTCAAATTGGATCAGGGTACGTGCCCAGCTGGAAGAGCATCCCACCCCTTGCCCAAGAGGGTCCAGGATTGGGCCCAGTTCTCATCTCCCGGTGCGGGTCCCCGGCAGGGGGCAGGCCAGGCAGTGCCCCCCGCCGAGATTAGCTGCTGCTGGGGTTGTGGCAGCTGGGATTGCAGCAGCTGGGATTGCAAGCACGATGGCAGGGTCAGCGGCCCCTGGCTGGAATGCAGAGCTGCCTCCCTGCCTGGTGCAACTTGCTTGCCCTACTCCGACTGCTCCGTGTCCCTGCTCTGCCTCCTGCAGCAAGGCACTGCCTGTGGCACTGGGGCCACCTCCCGGAGCCTCCCTCCTTCCCTGGTGCCCAGCTCCCCCTCCCAGCTGCATACTCACCTCCCCAGTCTCTGATACCTCCACACTGCCAACACTGGGGAGTCTCTGCCCACCTCAGGAAGCCAAGGGGGCAATGGCAGAAATGCTGCTGGGGGGGGTGGCATCCCTGGCCCTGAAGGACTCATGGCCCAGGATGTGGGAGCTCAGCTTGCACCAATTTAGCCACTGCTGCATCTGATGGGTGTCAGGCAGGCTCAGCACCCTGACGGCCTTGGGCAAGGCATGGGCAAGGTGGGGGCCCTAGAGCCTGTGGGCAAAGCAGCTCCGGCTCCCACGCAGAAAGGGCACTCTGCGGTCACATGAGACTCCTGCTGCCCACACCAGGATTGGTAACGGATGCGGCACGCCCAGAGGTGCTACAGGGGCTATGAACTGCCAAGCCCTGGCACAAATTAAGCACTGGCTGGCAGGCCCCACAGGAAGCCTTGGCAGGCCATCTATTGAGTGTCACTGCCCGAGGAGACGGTAAATGAGGTTTATTTGAATGATCTTGGAGAGATCCAGTGCATGACTTAACCTGAGATATTGAATAGATATTCATACCCCCATAAGGTTTTCAGAACAGGAGGTGACAAGCTGGGGACTCTATAGGGGTGATCATGACCTTTGAGGGCCCTTCTTATTCTTATTAATGATTTGTATTACAGTAGCCTGTAGAGGCCGCAAGTAAGACAGGGCACAGTTGCTCTAGGGGCTGTACATACCCATGAAGTGGGAGGCAGTCCCTAACTCAAAGAGCTCACAGTCTAAACAGGCCAAACATAGGAAGGGTGGGAGAAAGGGGATGTTCTTATCGCTATTTTAGAATTGGGGAAGTGGGCTGGTGCCCCCCACCCACACGCCGTCAGGCCCCTCCTGAGCTGGCCCCCATTGTGCCCCCCACCAACAGCTTTAGCCAACTAGAGCCATAGGTGTGAGGACTGAGAGAAGGGACTTGCTCTCAGCAGCCCCCCAGCATTCCCTGCAGCAGAGGAGCAGCAGCCCCACATGGGGAGAATCCAGCCTAGCCTTGGCATAGGGCAAACAGTAGCCAAGGAGGGCAGAGTCCACCATCAAGCTGGACCAGAAGCCCCAGTGGGGCATTCACTCCTGGCGGGGGAGGCGGACATGTTTCCACTATCATCATCCTTTCGTTGTCTCCACCAAGAAGGGCCCCTTCAATTCCCAAGTAATCTGTAATGGGTAAAATTTACCCCTTCTGTCCCAGCTGGGTGTTTAGACTGTCCATCATAGGCGGCACCTACCCCTCACCACTGTGTCTGAGATCCGAAGCAGGTGGACTGACTCTAGGGTGCATTTTAAAATAGAGCCAGGGCTGTTCCTCAATGTTTGGGTAGCAGAGCAGTCAGGTACATGTCCTTCCACGTGCACTAGGTGAGGTGAGTGTGCCGGGTTCACATGCAGGGACCTTGTTACACTGACCCATACCTTTGTTACTCAAGGCCAGACTACCGTAATGTGCCAAGTGAAGCAAGGCTGACACTCATCTCAATGGCATTTCTGTATGTGACTGTCTGTCTGTAACGGGTAGTGATCAACAGCTCCATGTCTAGTTGGCAGCCGGTATCAAGTGGAGTGCCCCAAGGGTCAGTCCTGGGGCCGGTTTTGTTCAATATCTTCATAAATGATCTGGAGGATGGTGTGGATTGCACTCTCAGCAAATTTGCGGATGATACTAAACTGGGAGGAGTGGTAGATACGTTGGAGGGGAGGGATAGGATACAGAAGGACCTAGACAAATTGGAGGATTGGGCCAAAAGAAATCTGATGAGGTTCAATAAGGATAAGTGCAGGGTCCTGCACTTAGGATGGAAGAATCCAATGCACCGCTACAGACTAGGGACCGAATGGCTAGGCAGCATTTCTGCGGAAAAGGACCTAGGGGTGACAGTGGACGAGAAGCTGGATATGAGTCAGCAGTGTGCCCTTGTTGCCAAGAAGGCCAATGGCATTTTGGGATGTATAAGTAGGGGCATAGCGAGCAGATCGAGGGACGTGATCGTTCCCCTCTATTCGACATTGGTGAGGCCTCATCTGGAGTAGTGTGTCCAGTTTTGGGCCCCACACTACAAGAAGGATGTGGATAAATTGGAGAGAGTCCAGCGAAGGGCAACAAAAATGATTAGGGGTCTAGAACACATGACTTATGAGGAGAGGCTGAGGGAGCTGGGATTGTTTAGCCTGCAGAAGAGAAGAATGAGGGGGGATTTGATAGCTGCTTTCAACTACCTGAAAGGGGGTTCCAAAGAGGATGGCTCTAGACTGTTCTCAATGGTAGCAGATGACAGAACGAGGAGTAATGGTCTCAAGTTGCAGTGGGGGAGGTTTAGATTGGATATTAGGAAAAACTTTTTCACTAAGAGGGTGGTGAAACACTGGAATGCGTTACCTAGGGAGGTGGTAGAATCTCCTTCCTTAGAGGTTTTTAAGGTCAGGCTTGACAAAGCCCTGGCTGGGATGATTTAACTGGGAATTGGTCCTGCTTCGAGCAGGGGGTTGGACTAGATGACCTTCAGGGGTCCCTTCCAACCCTGATATTCTATGATTCTATGATTCTATGAACATGATAGTTCTTGAACGCTACAGCCGATAGATTCCAACATTTCAGGGAACGTTCCAGGCCTCAATGCGCAGAAGTCAATTGATTTGGGTGAAAACTGGAAAAAAATGAAAGGGCTACATTGGGGACACACAAAACCCTTGGGCATCTGGTTTGCAAAGCAAACAGCTTCAGCCACCTATGTCATTGTCCACAGGGCAACGTACCCTGCATCTCATCTCTGATCCTTCCAATGCAGATTTCAGATGCT